GTGCGTCCGAGGATGCGCGCGGCAAATTGCGCGGCGAAGTTCGTAACTATTTGAACGACTTTAGCGCCTATCATTGGGGCCCAAATTCGGAGTAGAATAGATTAGTAGGTTCATCTAGCCCTAATAAACTATTCTACGTAGAGTTTGTGCCCCGAAAATTGGCATCAGAGTCATAAAAATCGTCACGACCTTCGCCGCGCAAGTTGCCGCGCGCGCCCTCGGACGCACGTTCGTACCGTCCCCCCGGAAATACAAACTGGCCGTGTCCGATGGCGACAGTAGAGGCGATAAGAAATTTGTGGCTGTTTGGGTGTTGTAACCACTAAGTTTAAAAATCTTAGTATTTCACATTTTGCCGTCTCTCTAACTTTTTTCGCCACCGATTCTCCAACCCATTTCCGTTTCTTAATATTAGCTTCATTGTGAAATGTGCCTTTCACATAACGTCGGAGTCCGAGTACAGTTCGTAGCCTTTTACTTGCCTGAAGAAGACTTATTAAGTTGTTCAGGCAGTGAATTTAGTCCATAATTCATATGTTTAATGCTGCTAGCGAACAAATATGTTCCTATAGCAGCCATTATAAAGCAGAACACAAAGGAAATCAGCGCACAGGTGATGGTACCAGTGCTTGGAGGTCTCTGAAAACAGCGATAATGTGAAAAGGAGGAAAGCATGACAGACCGATGAGGCTTCGCCTTGCCTCTCAAGTTGTCCTTTGTTTGAACTTATTTTAGCCAGCTGCAACGGCTTCTTTGCAACTAAGCTGCATCAACACATTACAGTATCTCTTTAGGTCCTTTGGTATAAGGCAGGGAGGAATATTGATAGGAGCTGACTCCGAGTAAGAAGTCGTGAACAAATTTTCGAGATATTTGGTTATAATATTTACAATTTAAACTATAACTGTGGATGGGCAACTTGCCCAATAGTAGCAATGATACTTTAAGTACGCATATAAAGCCACATTGCAGATCGATTCGGTTCGGAACTCCGGGCACCGGTTCCTTGAAGAAATGCTCGATATTGTCATGTATTCGAGAGTCACGATCAACCAGATGACGTCGGGGATAGAAAAAGCGTTGTGACTCGAGGGAGCCAGGTCT